GGCGGAACCAGACTTCCTTCCATTATCCTGTATACAGGATAAGTCCGCAATCTCTCCCTCCCACAGGAGAAGGTAACAATAGTTCGCTCCGCAGGAGAAGGTAACAATAGTTCGCTCCGCAATGTTCCAGAGATCCGGGCGGAACCAGACTTCCTTCCATTATCCTGTATACAGGATAAGTCCGCAATCTCTCTCCCTTAGACTAAGCCTAGTTGTGAGTAAGCCTGCCGTCAAGATTGATGATCTGCACCACCATCATGAAGTTCTACAAACACCTCCAATTGATATTCGTCTATAGTTTCTTTATTAATTTCTAAACCAACCAATTTTAATGCCACTTGGGAAACTATTTCAAAACATCCGTTTTATTAAATAAATGTTAGAAATATCCATGTAGATCTCCTTTTATTTTATCATATTGACTTTTAAAGTCAACAAAAGTATTATAATATAAATATTATATCATAGTCCTAAATATTATAATGAAGAAGATAGATATCACAATACTAAAAATTATACAAACCAAGCTTCTAGGCTATTTCAACTTTTAATTGTGGATCTATCACGCATTTTCAAAATTTCCAAAAATCAAAAACTGTTGGATGCAAATTTTTGTAATTTTGAGCAATCATAAACCTTCCCTGGGGTCATGTAAGTTACCACAAAAAAGTGGCCCTATATGTTCAGCCGTTTTGACGTTTATTGGATACAAACAGACAGACAGACGGACAAGAAAAATTTATTATAACTTGGCTTTCAGGGCGCTTCGCGCCCATCTGCTATTTCAATTGTATACATTTTCTCTTTGTATACATTGTAAAAAAATAACAAAATAAAAGTTCGCGGATTTTTAAAAATAAAATTTGTGGATTTTCAAAATTTATTGAAAATCGGATTTTGTTTGAAGCTAATTTTTGAAGTTTTGATCATACATAAACCTTCCCTCCCGTCATATGTGAGGTCCCCCAAAATATGTCGGCCTGATCAAATCCGTTAATTGTTTTGACGTTTATTGGGTTTTGCTTTGTCAAGTGTAAAAAATATTCTTCTTAGTAATATTTAATTAACCATTTACAACTCTTTATTCCGATCATATTGAGAATATGGAATCTCAGCCTGGGAAAGAAAACAATGTCTGAAAATGAAACAAATTCACATTTTATAGAAACGCGCAATAAGATTGATTGATAACTTAAAAGCCATGTCGCATAGTCAGACGCCGGTGTAGTCTGGGTAGGGGGCTATTGAGGCCATAAGCCCCCGTCTGGTCCATTAAAATCTGTAAATTACAGGGGGTTTTCAGGCCCCAAAGGGTGCTGAACCCCCTTGGAAAAGAAAATTAAGCCCCCCGCCGGAAATATTCCGGTCTACACCCCAAACTATATTTATGTATAAATATACACATAAACTTCTTCCTATACCTCTTCATCATAACATTTTTAAAAAAACTTGGAAACTTTGAAAGATCTCTTAACTATCAACTTGACATTCTCAATATGAGCTCATTGCAGTATTTACCATCAAGCTCTCTTCTTAAGTTAATTATGGAATAACCTGCCTCTTGACTTAAAACGAAGCAACTCTATAAGTATACTTAAAAATAGACTACTAAACTCTCTTTTTGAAAACCGAATTATTATTCATGTAAAACTAATTAAATATGTTTTGATATGATATCTATATCATTTGCTTATAATTTTTAGGAATATGATATGATCTCTATGTTATTTAATAATACTATTTAGGTTTATAATATGAAATCTACATTATTTGCATAACATTTTTAGGAAAATAAAATTAAATCTATATAATTTTTTTTTAAATGTTAGGACTTTATTTTATATTTAATATGATATTTAATCTATATATCTATACCATTTGTTTATACATTTTAGGAATATGTTGCGATCTCTGTATTATAATTAATTAATTATATTGAAACATTGAACTAAACCACTACTGTATGCCGAGTCCATTAGCGCCTGATCCAATCCAGTAGGTATGAAAAGCCTTTTTTCTCAATTTTAAACTATACATCTAAAAATAAATTGGTTTAAAAGGATATTGTGATTAGTCTATATCTGATGACTAATATCAACAAATAAATAATATAGTGTAAAAGTGTGTTTTGATATTTCTGTATTAAAATTGGTCTGAACCAACTGAATAATATCTATAATATCATGTGTATGTGTAACTCAAATCCTTGAAAGAAGGATATGAAATATCAAAATGCCAAAGTTAAACTGTGTGTCTTAAATTTTCTATTTACAAGGATATGAGATTAGTCTATATATTATGTGTATGTATAACTCAAATCCTTGAAAGAAGGGTATGAAATTTTAAAATGCCAAAGTTAAGCTGTGTGTCTTAAATTTTCTATTTACAAGGATATGAGATCAGTCTATATATTAGGGTACAGTGAAAATGGTATGAAACATATAAATATCATAAAAACTCTTCCTATCATATTTTTTCTTATGTAAAATTTAATTCTAAGAACAACTTAGAAAAGGTGTTTTTTGATTGGAAGACATCTTGATTCCCAAATTTGGGCTTTTATGTACCACATTTTTCATGAAATTTACGAAAATCCAGAAACTGTAACTTTGTCAGTTTTCTAGCTGCAGAAATTTCTTTTACCAAAAAATAACCACAAATACCACTTTAGTGAGGACGGAAGCCATAGAAAATGTAGTTTGTTCAGAAACTAATGAATTATGAACGCAGTTTTGTTCTATATTTTTATCGAATTTTTGAATATCTTGGTCTTTACAATAGTGTGCAGTAAAATCCGCCCTAGACTTATGAATGTTTTAAACTTGGGCATTATCTCTCTATGTTGGAGCCTAGATGTAATGAACCCATTCCTGAGCCCGCAATTAAAAAAA